ATTTGTAGCAATAGCCAACAATACATTGTATGGGTCACAATTATACATTTCTCTTTTATGCCAAAAATCATTAGGATATTAAGTAAAGATCATGTTCCATGAAGATATTTTGTAAATCTCCTACCGTAAATATATCAAAACTTAATGTTTGATTAGTAATATGCATTGCTAAGAACTTCATTTGAACAACTTTAAAGATGATTTTCTCAATATTTAGATTTTTTTGCACCCTCAGATTCCAGATTTTCAAATATTGTCCGATCCTAACAAACCATACATCAATGGAAAGCTGGTTTATTCAGCTTTCAGCTGATGTATAAATCTCAATTTCACAAAAATTGACCCTTATGACTGGTTTTGTGCTCCAGGGTCACGTATGTCACGTGACCAACTGTGGCCAAAATCAACCAAACAAAAGCACAAATGTAATACAGACTTCATTTCAGTCCGTTCCTCACACAAAGCATCATATGACATCAGAAAACACATTCATGACTGTTACCATGCTTCGACAGCGGCTCCTGATCGCTCTCTGCTTTACAGTAAAGAGCAGCGAGAACATCCTACGTCTCCTTTTGTGTTCCACTGAAGGAGGTGCGTCAATAATAATATATCAATAGTAATATTGTCGTATTGTGTGATTGGACTGTACCAGTGAGGTGGAGGCTGAGGGGTGGCTGTATGAAGACCACCACACCGTCCTGTAAATGTTGATGTACTGAACGAAGAGCGCCACCAGCAGGTAGAGGAAGAGCAGCGACTCGAACAGCAGGTTACCGTCCAGAGGAAGATCGGGAATACGGGAATGACGGACAGGTTCGGGAGTGATGAGGGCCGTGAGGGGCGGAGTCAGACCCACCACCCCGCTGTTCCTGCGAGAGAGAGACACGCACACTAGGGTTGGGCGATGTCAACAAAACTGGTGTAAACATTATAACAATATAACAGTGAAACATCGCGATTGACGATGACATTATATACAGATCAGTTATAGAAGTCATTATAATCAGTGATGCGGTCTACACTGGATGCGGCGCAGCGCGACACGACAAATCCCCGACAGTAAACTGCTGCTGCCTTCTATTTATGACGTGCTGACACCAATTTCAAATGACTTTCAACGGTCTCTTTGTCGCGTCCAGTGTAGACAGACTTTAGCTGATGCGGCGCGACACAACAACGGTCACGTCCGGTGTAGACGCGGTGTAACGGTTGCCTGTTACATTACAGTACATAAAATTTAACTTACCACATAAACAGAGTAAGGAGAGATGACTGAGGACGATGGCGAATGATTTGCAGATCCTCAGCACCACTGATAAACATCTAATGTGTGGCAAGTACTGCCGCTCCATAGTATAAACAGAGTACGTGCGATCACGAATCTCGAAAGTGAAACTAAAAAACGATTGTGCATTCAAAAGCAGTTTCAATGCCAGGTATAATAGCGGCTCCCTGATGCCCGAAATATATATGTAGTATAATTACCCAATGATATAACTGCGAGGGAAAATACTGAAATATATATTTTCCTCCCATCTCCTATTTATTCCCTTTAGGGGTTCCGTATACACGTCATTTTCTGTCCGAACACGGTATTGGGATGCGGCGGATTGCGGGGGGTATGACGATGCCAGCTCAACATCACGATGTCTATCAGCCCAACCCTAACACACACACACTCGCACACAGACACACACAGTCAAGTTGATGGATAGCTTCAACCAATGGCTGATATTTCAGCAGTTTGGAAAGATAGAAGGTATCCAAATACAGATCAAAACAACTACAGAGTTCAGAGCCTCATTTACAATATTAGGAGTGTTTGGAATGTTTTGAAATGGTCACTGTCACACACACACACACACTTTTCATCAGGAAGCAGATTTCGGTCTGATATTCAAAGCAGCGATCACACCAGCTCATGTCACACAACAACGGTCACGTCCGGTGTAGACACGGTGTAACGGTTGCCTGTTACATTACAGTACATAAAATTTAACTTACCACATAAACAGAGTAAGGAGAGATGACTGAGGATGATGGCGAATGATTTGCAGATCCTCAGCACCACTGATAAACATCTAATGTGTGGCAAGTACTGCCGCTCCATAGTATAAACAGAGTACGTGCGATCACGAATCTCGAAAGTGAAACTAAAAAACGATTGTGCATTCAAAAGCAGTTTCAATGCCAGGTATAATAGCGGCTCCCTGATGCCCGAAATATATATGTAGTATAATTACCCAATGATATAACTGCGAGGGAAAATACTGAAATATATATTTTCCTCCCATCTCCTATTTATTCCCTTTAGGGGTTCCGTATACACGTCATTTTCTGTCCGAAAACGGTATTGGGATGCGGCGGATTGCGGGGGGTATGACGATGCCAGCTCAACATCACGATGTCTATCAGCCCAACCCTAACACACACACACTCGCACACAGACACACTCACACACAGACACACACAGTCAAGTTGATGGATAGCTTCAACCAATGGCTGATATTTCAGCAGTTTGGAAAGATAGAAGGTATCCAAATACAGATCAAAACAACTACAGAGTTCAGAGCCTCATTTACATTTACAATATTAGGAGTGTTTGGAATGTTTTGAAATGGTCACTGTCACACACACACACACACTTTTCATCAGGAAGCAGATTTCGGTCTGATATTCAAAGCAGCGATCACACCAGCTCATGTCAGCTCTTCCACAGAGCAGAGTATACTGAAGAATATATATATTTGTAGCAATAGCCAACAATACATTGTATGGATCAAAATTATCCATTTTTCTTTCATGCCAAAAATCATTAGGATATTAAGTAAAGATCATGTTCCATGAAGATATTTTGTAAATCTCCTACCGTAAATATATCAAAACTTAATGTTTGATTAGTAATATGCATTGCTAAGAACTTCATTTGGACAACTTTAAAGATGATTTTCTCAATATTTAGATTTTTTTTGCCCGCTCAGATTCCAGATATATATAAGAATGAAGAGTTCAAATGCAAAATACTCTTAAGTGCCATTCGAAAAGCATTTTTATCAAACTCCTGTGTGTCGGTTGAAGGTTCAGTAATTTCACTTTAATGGCAATGAATAGGTTCATGAACATGAACATCCGACCCGTTTCACACCGTCTTCTGCTGATGATGCACGGGCAGCGTTTTTGAGCAATATTGCTTGGCCACTTTCCCATTGAGAATGGGTAACAAATTTGTATCTGGATAATTTAGATCGGTCGTGGGCCCTGTGTCTTCCGTTGAAGGCAACATTGCTGAAAAAGTTTCCTCGTTTATCATCAGCCTTCATCTACTCACACCAGACACAAGCAACAGCATCTCCGTCCCGATGCGTGTGCGATCAGACGAAACTGATGGTGAGCTTCACTGTCATTAGCATTATTAACACATAAATGATCCCATCGTCCAGCTCTACAGCACCCAGTGTGGACTGTTAAGCATTATAAACATGAACATTATGGATCGTTAATAGTGTTAGATAGAAACACTGCATGCATTAATGTGTTAACTATGAAAAATGAGATTAACTGTGATTAAATAATTGACTCGATCGTTAATATGGACTGTGTGCGTGTATTCCTGCATTTCAGTTCCTGTATAAAATGAAAGAAGAGTTTGGCAATACAGTGTGAGTGACCACTGCTCAGGTGAGCTCACCTGCACCGGAGCCCTGCCCCATTACTGAGGCCGCCGCCCACCAGCGTCTGCAGCGAGGGCAGTGCGGAGCGGCTCAGCTGCTGTCTACTGGGACCCCTGCGGCCCCCGGGCATCTCCGTCTGCGGATCCCTGCGAGCACGTCCTCACGTCTCGGACACTGCGGGAGAAACACAGGGACAGTCCATCTGTCTGCTGACCGCTAGACTCTCACCCTAACAGTCAGCTCAGAGGTCAGAGGTCAGAGCTGGTGCTCCTCTGATAAACGAGGGTTTCTTCATCTGACACAAAACCGCAGATGAAACTGTTGCACTAAAAGAGGAACTTAGAGAGTAATGCAGCTGAACTGTGAAGAAAACAGCTTTCACTAACACACACCGCTGCTGCTGCTGCTGAGGGGAATCATCTCATGATGCTCAGAACTGCTGCGAGATTAGATTAGACTGACCCAGCAGCTGACCCACCACAGCCAGACTAACACACCAACTACAGACTAACTACTAACTACCCCCTGAACCCCAGACTAACACATCAAGCAGGACATAAACACACTAACTGGTTTGTCGCTGGTAACTGAACTAACCCTAACTATACGAGTATTAAAGAGCTGGTGTTCATTAGCGACTGAAGGCATGATTAACACTTAAACGAATAATTAAAGTAACACTTACCGCACATCAATCACGAGCGCAGACATCAGTCAGCCAAACTCTGTAACAAGCGCATCTGTGTCTCTCTGTAACAATGTTTCTGAAGAGACCGCGCCGGGAGACTGGTCTCGCTGCTCGTTACTAACGGCGTTAACGAGCTGAACACAAAGTTGCTGAAGTTCCTCGCGCTGCAGTTACAGACCGACGTGGCAGACCGACGCTGCGTCACATGACGCCATCAGAGACGCGACGCGACGCGAGTGATGCGCAAGCGCTGTGTGTGTGTGTGTGTGTGTGTGTGTGTGTGTGTGTGCACAAAACCTAAACGTTTTGGTCTGGATTAATGTCTTTCTTTCGGCTGAACTGCAATATCGTTCTGTTTGTAAAAAAAAATATATACGTTTAAATTTGTATTAGGAATATAATCTTTATCGTAGTTTGTGGAATATGGGAACACGTGTTGCTACACATACTGTATTTTAACTTCCGGTTTTAATAGTTTAGTGAAACTGCCTGGAGCTCTGAAACAGCGATTCTTCGGAACTTCAGCTACACTCATATGAATACAATACGGCATCATGTCATTTAGCGCGAAACTGCACAAAACCTAAACGTTTTGGTCTGGATTAATGTCTTTCTTTCGGCTGAACTGCAATATCGTTCTGTTTGTAAAAAATATATACGTTTAAATTTGTATTAGGAATATAATCTTTATCGTAGTTTGTGGAATATGGGAACACGTGTTGCTACACATACTGTATTTTAACTTCCGGTTTTAATAGTTTAGTGAAACTGCCTGGAGCTCTGAAACAGCGATTCTTCGGAACTTCAGCTACACTCATATGAATACAATACGGCATCATGTCATTTAGCGCGAAACTGAAAGCATGAATGGATTGTTGTGATCGATCCTGTGATCAGATGATATACTGGCCTGAGAAGATGAAGCAGCACTGATGAACATGCACAGACCTCAGGGTTTATTTATGCAGATGCACGAGACACACATGAGATGCATAAACATTAATAAACAGGCTGCAACAACAGAAACAACCCTGCCATCAGCACAGAGGCTGTTCACATGCAGCAGCACGGATTCACAAAGTTTATATAAATGTGAGGCTGAATAATGATTGATTTTTAACTTGCAGTAAGTTCAAAGTAAAAATGCAGTAAGCAGTTCTGTAAAAGACACACAAAGACACTATTTACAGAAAGACTAAAGAACAGCTTGACCTGAGTTTGAGCAATAAAACTAAATACACACTGGACGTCTGCATAAGTTACTCCTTGTGTTTGTGTAGCCAAAGACTGAAAGCACTGATGTTCACAGCCAGATCATAACGAGCAGCAAGCACAATCATGATGAAGCATTTCAATGCAAACAAGAGTCTCATACACACTTCTTGCATTATATCCCTATGCTGTGGCTACATTACTAAAAACCCAATGTAGTAATAAATATACTGACGCAAAAGAAGTAATATTTACACAGATAAATCATAAAACCCAAGCAACCTAAAAAAAGACTTCATTAAAATACAGCTTCCTCTAATGTCATTACTATAAGATGATATTCATGTTCACATTAATATAAACTGCTCTGCACAAAATATAAAAAAAGAAATCAGTGATCAATGTTCAGTGTAACATCCTTCAAACATGTTCAATAAAATAAACGTGCTTTGTTCTGTGCACATGAACACAGAAACCTCCGTGAAGTCTGTCTACAGCGCTCCGGATCAGATGACTATACTGGTGCCGCTGCGAGAACTTTTATCCTGCAGGACAGAAGAAGTTCAACATCAACACATGTACAAGATCAACAGCATACAACCGTGTGTGTGCGTGAGAGTGTGAGAGAGAGAGTGTGTGTGTGTGTGTGTGTGTGTGAGAGAGAGTGTGTGTGTGCGTGTGAGCGAGAGAAAGTGTGTGTGTGCGTGTGCGAGAGAGAGAGAGAGTGTGTGTGTGTGCGCGAGAGAGAGAGAGAGTGTGTGTGTGTGTGCGAGAGAGAGAGTGTGTGTGTGCGCGTGTGCGAGAGAGAGAGTGTGTGTGTGCGCGTGTGCGAGAGAGAGAGAGTGTGTGTGTGTGTGCGTGTGCGAGAGAGAGTGTGTGTGTATGAGTGAGCAAGAGTGTGTGTGTGTGTGTGTGTGTATGAGTGAGTGAGTAAGAGTGTGTGTGTGTGTGTGTGCGTATGAGTGAGTGAGTAAGAGTGTGTGTGTGTGTATGAGTGAGTGAGTAAGAGTGTGTGTGTGTGTGTGTGTGAGAGAGAGAGAGAGAGTGTGTGTGTGTGTGTATATGAGTGAGTAAGAGTGTGTGTGTGTGTATGAGTGAGTGAGTAAGAGTGTGTGTGTGTGTGCGCGTGCGTATGAGTGAGTGAGTGAGTAAGAGTGTGTGTGTGTGTGTGTGCACAGAAGCAGAAGATCTCAGTGATTATGAACCGTGTGCTTGTGTAGGTACAGAGCGGTCCAAACATCAGAGATGCTGCTTCTCTGCAGTCTTTTCTAACAGAACACAGTTAAATGAGACTAAAATATCTTACATCATTTTGCTTATCTAGTGAATGCATCTTGATAAGAACTTTTAGATATTTTGATTAGAAACAAGACAAAAATACTACACAAGATAAGCCTTTTTTTGCAGTGTTATCAGTGTGGCTTCAGATGTTTGGATCCCACTCTAGATCTACTCATGACACCAGAACGTCCCTCGTGTTTAACAGTGAGATCAGATGAGATCAGCAACATTAACCAGGAAAGCCGTGAACACATTCAGACAGGCTCTCGGTGCTCAAACATCTGAACAGCAGAAGCTCAGACTCTTACAGAGAAGCGCTCCGGCCGCTTGTTCGGCTTCTTCCCCGGCTCGTACTCGCTGTAGCTGGGTGGATAATGGCTCCAGCCTCCTCCTCGAGCGCCTCCGCGTCTGCTGTCCTCCTCGTTGGCTGAGCTCCAGGAGCCGTGGCGGGGCAGAGGGGAGTAATCGTCTGGTCTCGGGCCCCGGCGCTCGGCGGCCAGCAGGTCGTCTCTGGAGTGTGCGCGGGGCCGGTACGGTCCGGTCCGGATCCGAGTGTCCAGCATGTCCTCCTGACTGTAGCTGCGCTGGACGGCCGGCCGAGGATAGTGGCGGGACGAGAGTCAGGCGGGGCCCTGCGGGAGACGGGGCCATCGTCCAGAGCGGAGAGCATGCTGGGGGGCCCGGCGGAGAAGGGCACGCGCTGGGGCATGTGTTGGGGAGCAGGAGGAAGATGCTGCAGTTGGATGGAGGGCTGCGGCTGGAGCAGTGGGCTGGAGACGTCCATGCCCCGCACCTGGTTCTCCAGATACTCCAGCACCGGATACGTCCCGTGAGCGCTGCCGTTACCGTGAACGCCGGGAGGAGGCATCGCTGCCATGTGTGGAGGCGGCAGAGGCACCGGCGTCATCCCACCTTTGCCTGATGCTGAGCCTGAAAACACAGACGGATCATTACAGTGCTGGCCAAAACAATCAGAACACTAGTATTCTCAGCAGATAAAAGCTGGTTTTAAGTCAGTTATGTCTATCTTTTGCTGTAGTGTGTCAGGAGGAAATATCAGATTGTATTTCCAAACATTCATTTGGCCATTAATTGTAATAATGCAGTGTCTCAGCTTGTTCTGTTTCTTCATGTGACTCCAGACAGACTGATGATGATCAGATCAGATCTCAAATCTCACTGAATTATTACAATTAATGGCCAAATGAATGTTTGGAAATACAATCTGATATTTCCTCCTGACACACTACAGCAAAAGATAGACATAACTGACTTAAAACCATGTTTTATCTGCTGAGAATACTAGTGTTATGATTGTTTTGGCCAGCGCTGTACACAAATAAACAGAGTAGAAAAATAAAATGTACACTTAAAAATCTAAATTTCACAGCTTTAGTTGCAAAATAACGGACTAAGTGGAATCTGTGCTCAAATGGGCTTTTGAATATATATCGATTTATAAACACACACACTGAAATGTAAGTTTTTGTCAAGTTAATATGTTACACTGCTGTATCATATCTGATCTGACCTGAATTTGTCCTCCAAGGCCTCTAAATGATAAACACTAAGAAAACTTCACTATTAAACCCGTTTCACATTTTTTAATCACTGCATTATATGTTTGGATCATTTCAATCTCATCTTACCGAGACAGATAGATCTAGAGATATAGAGCGACGGCTGATATTTAGATTATTTTATGTCAGTCTCTGCTCTACTGTTATAAAGATCTCACTGATTTACATCACAAGCAGCAGAATTCCATCAGATAAATATCAGCATCTGCAGGAAATGACATTTTTGCTCAGTCTGAGTCTCTAAATCTATGAGTCTCTACTTTATAAATACTGTATTGTGCGCTCATGCTTCCATACATTACTTATAGTGTGGAGGTGTGGGGTCATACATATAAAACACTACTATAAATACAATATACATGTTACAAAAGAAAGCTATGAGGATTGTTAAACGGGGTGATTATTACAAACCTACAAACTAATTGTTTATTAAACTACATGCTTTAAAATGTGCAGATTTAGTTGATTTATATACAGCACAGATAATGAACAAAGTTTATAATAATTTACTCCCAAATTGTATTCAGAGGCTGTTCAAAATAAGAGAAAGTCAGTATAATCTGTCAGTATAATAAATTCCTACTATTTTGTCAAGCTTTACAGGGTTAAAGTCTAGATACAGCACCCATTCACCTCCTCATTTATTCGTGAAACTCATCATTTATTCTGACCTGCGTACAGCATGGGGTTCATCTGGTACGAGGAGCTGTGGTTACTCATCGGTGCGTAGATCGGCTGTCCGTTCAGCCACGGAGTCATGGCCTTCTGCGCCTCCTTCATCATCCTGTGCTGCATCACCACTGAACACAGAACAGAGCATTACAGTGAGTGTTCTAGCTCTGTGTTCATTGACAGAAGCTGTGTGTGTGTGTGAGAGAGTGAGTGTGAGAGAGAGAGAGAGAGAGAGTGTGTGTGTGTGTGTGTGTGTGTGAGTGTGTGTGCGTGTGTGAGAGAGAGAGAGTGTGTGTGCGTGTGTGAGAGA